TTTAGACAATTTGGGGAATGGGGGAGTTAATAGTGGAGGAGCCAATGTTCAGCCACAGGTCGAAGATGCAAAAGCTTCGATAGGGGAGGTGAGTTCAGCTCCAACACAGGCCCATTCCCCTTAGCTAGGGATGGGTGATTTGTCTATTTCAATAAGATCTTGAACGGAGGAAGAAGATACTGGTTCAATTGATGAATAAGGAGAAGACAATTGTGAGAAGGGGTTTGACGCTGGTTTGCATGAAGAAGACTAAGTACAAATAACACATAAGGAATTGGCTTTGGAGGAGCAGCCTAAGAGTCAAACAGAGGTGAGTCATAGGGCTAAGGAAGAAGAAGAGAGGATTGAAGGTGGAAAGAGAAAGTTTCAATTCGAGTTTGAAGGGGGATAAGAAATAAAAAGTTTATAATAGGAAGAGGTCTTTTAGAATTGCCACAGGGGTAGCAAGGGGGAAGGGGTGAGGTGAGAGATTGGGAAGGGCGTCTAGAGGAGGAACAGGTAGGGAGGAGGAGAGAGAGAGAGGGGGCAAGGTACAAGAAAAACACTAAAATAATTCCAAATGGAGAGAAGTGAAAATTAGTAAATTAGTGGAGGCAGGAGAGGGAGGTGATAGTGGGCAAATCCTTGGGCTCATTCTTCTAAGGAGGGGAAGGCTTTGCAAGAATTGCCTTCAAGTAGTTTGAGAAGAATAGGAGGGAGGAGAAAAACAAGAAAAAAGAAAGAATTGAGGACAGAGGGTGGGACGAAGAGGGGGGTGAGGAGTCGCTGGTTAAAGAATGAGGAGTTGAAGTTCAAAATTCTCCAAGGAAAACAGAAGGGAAGAGGGAAAGGTGAGGGTTTTAAGTTGGAACTTGAGGAGCTTGAGGGAGAGAAGTAGGAGGGTTGAGGTGAGGAATGTACTTAGAAAACATGGTATGGAGCACGAAAGCAAGGATAGTATAGAGAGGAATCCCATTTGATGCACTAGTGGCCTTGGCAGGGAAACTAGTGTCAAATTGGGTGTTGGTGCTCCCTGAGTTTAACCAGATTAATAGATCAGATTTTGGGGAGCTTTTGGAATGTTCTTGAAATCCAAGCTTGTATTGCTGAACAAGTTCATAGTTGATTTGTATTGGTGGGGTGTCATTACTTATTATATATATAATAAGAAAATATTTAAGGAGAGAAGTCAGGAATCAGTATTTGAATGTGTCTTGGCTAGGGTGATTTGGGTCAACTCCTTGGAGATATTTTCATTCTTTTTTTTTTATAGGAAACGGTAACTTTCATTAGATAATTAAAAAGATTACATATTTTCATTCTATTCACATGAGGATCTGTGGAGGAGTTGGAGAGAGATGGCTGCATCTTCTTCAAAGAAGCAAAAGTCCATAAAAAATGGACACCACCAGAAGAGGGATTCATCAAAACTAAACTTTGACGGAAGTAGTGTTGGAAATCCAGAACCATCTGGTATTGGAGGTGTCTTTAGAAATGGGGAAGGAGACATTACTGCTTTGTGTTCAGGACAATTGGCAATGGGGACTCTATAAGGGTGGAGCTATATGTTGTGATTCATGGACTACAAAGGGCAAGAGAAATGAACTTGACTAATCTAATCATAGAAGGTGACTCCACGGTTGTAACTAGGTGGCTTAAAAATGGTGAGAATGCAAATATGGACTTTTAGGAATGAAGTTAAACAGATCAATTGGTTGGTAAGGAACATGAATGTCAAGATACAATGGGTTCAATGTTCTGCAAATGAGATGGCTAATAATTTAGCAAAGCAAGGGGATTTTAGAAATCAACCGTATTGGGCTTACTTATAATTTGTATATCTTTGCAGGGGTAGGGTAATAATCGCTACCCCACCCCATGGTTGATGTAAAAAGGCAATATGGGCTTTCTAATCTAGAAAGCACAGACAATGAAAGTGGTAAATAGATTAGAGAAGATAATGAGGGATTTTTATGGGACCTAGGGAGTGATAAAAGAGATCATCTTATGAATTGGATTGGGGTGTGCAAAAGTAAGGAGGCATGCAGATTAGAAATTGGAAGAATGAAAGAAAAAATAAAATTGGCACTCTTGGGAAAATTGCTTTGGAAATTCCCAAAAGAATCAAAGGCATTGTGGCATTTGGTCATCAGAAGCATATATGGGTTGCATCTGAATGGGTGGGACATGGATCCTACAAGGAATACATATGCAAGAAGCCCTTAGAACCTTACTCCCACCTTTTTTCAACACATTAGGTATGACCTTATGATGCACTATGTCACTATCTAGGTCTGAATTGAAGTTCTGTGAGCATACTTGGTGTGGAGACTCTCCCTTCTTCCAAGCTTTTCCTACAATCTCTAGTTTGTCAAACCTCAAAAATAAACCTATTGCTGAATTGATTTCTTTTGATGAAAGTGGATCGGTTTGGAATTTGGGGCTGAGGAGAGCTTTGAGGGAGTTTGAGATGGATGAAATGGTCTCTTTACTTGATACTTTCCAAGGGGTGGCTTTTTTCTTGACAGAGGTTGATGAGAGAGTTTGGGTACCAAATACTAGTGGTTGTTTCTCCTGTGCTTCTTTTCTTCAAACCCTTCAGCAACCTACTAGTGCACACCTTGTCCTAGCTAAAGAACTTTGGAGCAGTCCCATTCCTCCAAAGGTAAAAGATTTTCTGTTGCGAAGTTGTTAATCCAGTGCTGAACTCTTGTGATAGACTCCAAAGGAAGTGGAAAAGAAGGTGTCTATTCCCTCATGTGTGTGTTCTTTACCTGAGAAGTAGGGAAAACACCAACCATCTTCTGTCACATTGCTCTTATGCTGCTTGGGTGTGGGGACATTTCTTCTCCCTGGCTAGTAATTGGGTGTCTCCAGACGATATATCATGTTTATTACAAAATTGAGTTGTATAACTCGAAGACAAAATTCTGTGGCAATGTGTGCATGGGGTGATCCTATCATCCTATGGGGCTGTGGAATGAAAGAAATGCATGAATCTTTAAGACAAGGCAAGAATGGCTGAGGTGCTGACTGAAATGATAAAAATAAGAGTAGCTCATTGGACTTTGATTTGTGATGATTTCGAGGGTATTTCAGTTAATGACATGTTAAGGGGGTGAGAAGCTTCTGATTTCCAGGCATCATGACAGCAAAGGACAGCTGGTTGAATTGTTCCAGCTCCAGGCAGGTTGAAGCTCAATTTTGATGGATGCTGTCTTGGTAACCCAGGGGTATCTGGTATTGGGGGTGTGGTTAGGAGTTAGGACCACCAATGGCAATATGGTTTTCAGCTTCTGTGCTCCTATTGGATATGGTAATTCCTTCAGAGCTCAGTTGCAAGCTTTGATTCAAGGTTTGAAGTAGATGAATATGCAGGAAATGACTTGCAAGGCCTTTTTTCCCCTTCTTTTTTCAGGTGGCGGATAAAAAGGGGAAGGACAATGTGGAGAGGACTAAGGGCTGCGGTATGTTGGACACTTTGGGAAGAAAGAAATTCCAGGATATTCTCAGAAGCTCA